GTCTGGTTTGGCCAATGTACATGGCAGAGGGGCATTGCTGGCACATGATGGCATCCAAGTAGTAAACCCTTTATCCTCCCAAGGACAGGCGTGTGTTTAACATTAGAAATCCAGAGCCTTGTTTTTCTCTGCAAAAGCCTCTCTGAGAGCTTCTGATTAACCCAGCCAAAGCCTGGGGCTCCCCATGCTGCTCTGAGGAATCACTAGCCCCGTGCCACCTATGACCAGAACAGTAGCTTGCCCTTAGTAGTTCATAGCCATAGAGACTACAGTTCCCAGCTGGCAGCATGGCTGAGACTACAGCTCCCATCAGGCCATGCTTTACCCAGAAGGAAGGGAGTGTGCCGCGCTGCACGCTGGGATTTACATTTCTGCATCTAAGAATTCGCGTAGTGGAGCGTTCTTCCTTACAGCTGCGCGGGAGGATTTCTTTCCGGGCTCTGATTGGTCGGCGGCGGGCGCGCTCTTATGGCGTCACTTCCGCTGCGAAGGACGCTCCGCGCACTGTTTTTTTCTTTGGCGGGTTAAACGAAATGGCGGCCGCGTTAGGAAGCGGGAACGGCGGCGAGAGAAGGCCCCGCCGGAGACAGAAACCCTCGGAGTAGAGACGCACGATTCCTCCGGCCCCGCCCCGCGCTCCCGGCCCTCAGCATGAGCGTCTGGGAGAAGGAGCATCTCTGGCTCTACCTGCTGGCGCTGGGCTTCGAGCCGGGAGCGGGAGCCGCCGCCGCTGCCGGGAGGCTCAGCATCCACCTCAGCCTGGGCGTGTGAGTGTAGGGGGGAGCGCCCTCAGGCCGCGCGTGCGAGCGTTTCAGCCGTGACCACCCCCATCCCCCATCCCCAAGCAGGGTGCCCAGGCTACTGCGAGCCTGGACGCTTCTGAGCTACTGCTGGCAGATTTGGCGGGCCGGGGGGGATCCCTTGAGCAGGAGATGCCTTGCGTGGGTATTTCCTGGCCTGGTCACCTGGGAGCATCACATGCGGTCCCGCCGGGGCCATATTTCGTTTTTCCAAAAAGAGGATGTTGTGGGGGTTGGGGGAGCTGAAGGGGGTATCTTGTGGGGTTACTCACTGGATGTGGGGAGCAGTATCACTCCCTAATACAGTGGCAGGCTGGCGCAAGCCCAGGACATGTCAGTCAGTGCCTTCCTGCGGGGCCCCCTGCTCAGGGCTGGGTGCCAGGGCCTTGGTGGGCAACTGTGGATGCTGGTGAGGGACTAACTGGGAAACGGACCAATCGAGGTTCTTTCTGAGCTGCAGCGTTTGCTCTGAAAAAATCCAGAAATTTCCTGTTTGAAAAACCTGCACAGACAGAGGATGGATCCTCCAAAAAGAGGAAATAGCCAGAAAAACATTGACTATGGTAACCCGTACAGGGCCTGGCTCTTCCCCAGTGAGCCCTACCCATGACAGATGGTAAAAGGGGGTGGGGCTCCCATTTTGAAGGCAGGGTGAGATGTGTCCATTCTAACACAGTGGCTTTGAGAAGCCTGTCCCTGACTTGCTGTGGCAGCACAACTCTTTCACCAACTCTACATCTGCCAACATGGAGCTAGCTGTCCCTGAAATCCCTTCTGTTGTGGGTATCGACCAGCGAAATGTGATGTTATGCATGTTATTGTTCACTGGTTTATAGAAAGGCCTTTCACATGGAGCAGTCAGACTTTACAGTGCCCTGCACAGTATCTCTTGTAAACAAAATGGACTTTTTATTGGATTGCTTTTCACTACAAGTGTACGTTATATTTGTCAGAAAAAATGAGGTCTGGAAATAGCAACAGCTCTTGCTGTGTGGATTTGACACAATTGGATGCAGTTTATATGGAAACAGTCACTTTGGTAGTGTTAAGTATCAGAGGGGTAGCCGTGTTAGTCTGAATCTGTAAAAAGCAACAGAGGGTCCTGTGGCACCAGTACTTGCACTTGCATCTGAAGAAGTGAGGTTCTGACCCACGAAAGCATATGCTCCCAGTACTTCTGTTAGTCTCAAAGGTGCCACAGGACCCTCTGTTGCTTTTGGTAGTGTTGTGGCACTGAACTGACATATCTCTGCTTTCAAGACAGAATAAACTCTTGATGGAATTGTCTAAATGTTATTAAGGAGACTAGAATGCTGCAGATTCCTTCATTGGATTAAAAATTGTTAAAATAATCTGGAAGGGTTCTGCCAAATTTGCAGGCCAAAGAATTTGAAGGGTTTTGTAGTCTTAAATTCACATACAAACCTTAAATTAGTTTGTTTGAATGCTTAAATGTCAATTATTTTGGTTGTTTTCACTAACTACTTTATATTTATCAGGAATATGTTTGACAAGCCAAACAAGGATGCTTTTCATGTGGTTGCGCGCTTCTTGTTTACTAAACTGGATCATTCACGCTCAATAGAGATCTTCCGGTATGCACAATTTTTGTGTAATCAATAACAATGTTCTGTACACACACCCAATAGGAATAATCACTGATGTAGTCTCTGGGGCAGAGGTAACCTGTTTGGAGATTGCGTTACAAAACTACCATCTGTGTAGGTTTCTCACACTTGGGTTACAGCTTCTTAATGCATGACAGACAACTTACCTAGCTCAAATTTTTACTGCAGTAGTCGTAATGTAGACAATTTTGGGGAAGTTTTCACAGAGATGGCAAAAGGCACATCTCTTAACCCTCTATCCAAATATCAAGTATCAGGTTCAAGCCATAGAGCCTCTCAATGAAATGACAGCAAGCATTTTTTTAACATGGGCAAAAGATTTTCCCTAATCTGGTTCTCAGGCAGCCAAACTGTGTTTTATCAGAAACTTTCTAAAAAAAGAATTCTGTCTAAAACAGACACCTGGCATGGAAAATTTCAGCCCAAACAGCTGGGCAAAGTTATAAGCAGTTGGAAACAGGGCCTTATAATACGAAAGGGCAACCTTAAATATAGGTGGCACTACCAGCTCTGGCTATAATGTATTTACTGTGAGCCCTTATAGCAAAAATCTGTGCGTGTGAACCATTTCACTGCTAGTCATTTTAGGAAACTTCCAGGTACCCTTTGATCATAGTTTGAGTACTGTTACTTCTTTCCGACCTTATCTTCCTCCTAAAAAGAATCACTACAAATCTTAGCATTTTTCAGCTACATACTTAAATAGGTAAATTAAATTATTTACAAATATATTGAAACTGACTTTTCTTCTTTTGGAATGGAAAGATTTTGTTGCCCTCCAGCGGATAAAAAGGGAGATGCTGAATTCAGGAAGCAATGCTGCGAATGGCTAAAAAAAATTTCAGTAAGTATTGGCAAGTATGAAATGATCGCTGCAGGAAATTCTTGTCTGTTTAGAGTACCACATGTATAAGTAGCGTTTTAGGTTATTAAACAAAGTACCTGCAACCAAAGAATAACTCTAACTTTCCCAAGTACAATATATGGCATAGATCAATTTTTTTAGACTTATTTGAACTAAAAGTTACAGCATGGTATGGTAAAGCTTAGACTGCAAAGCTGATACATTTGGGCTTCATGCATGCAAAAAGCTATAGCCATGCACTTAGTTTTCTGTGTATTTCATGCCTCAGATAAACCTATAAGTGAACAGGCTTTTTTAAA